CATGCGCACGCCTGAGCACGCGTGTTGAAACTCCTCGTCCTCCATTCGTTCTCCTTACAGATAACTTCTCCCTGTCGCACCCCGAGGCCAGTTTTTAGGGCGGGCCGGGCGTTTCGCCTGAGATTTTCTCACCACTCATGATTCTGAAGCTGAAAACGTGACAACAGCTTCGCAGATGGAGGGCGGGTGGGTTTCAAAATGTGGCTCTCGCTTTAGCGCCGCGCACATTCGCTTCAAACATTTGCAAAGGGCTTCGCGGATTGAGGGCGGGTTGTTTTCAAAATGTGGCTCTCGCGTTAGCGCCGCGTATATGCATTTTAAAATTCCGCAAGAGTTTCTCATGTTGAGGGCGGCTCCTTTTCAACATGTGGCTCTCGCGTTAGCGCCGCGTACATTCGTTCCAATAATTTGCAAGAACTTCACGGATTGAGGGCGGGTTGTTTTCAAACTGTGGTTCTCGCTTTAGCGCCGCGCACATCCGTTGCAAAAAATTGCAAGGGCTTCACGGGTTGAGGGTGGTGCCTTTTCAAACTGTTGTTATCGCCTCAGCTTCTCGCGCATTCGTTTCAAACATTTGCAAGGGTGTCACGGATTGAGGGCGGGTGGTTTTCAAAATGTGGTTATCGTTTTAGCGCCGCTTACATTCGTTTCGACAGTTTGCAAGAGCTTCTCGGATTAAGGGCGGGTTGTTCTCAAAATGCGGCGTTCGCTTCAGCGCCGCGCGCATCCGTTTCAAACAATTGCAAAGGGTTTCACGGATTGACGGCGGGTGGTTTTCAAAATGTTGTGTTCGCTTTAGCTCCGCGCACACTCGTTTTAAATATTTGCAAGAGCTTCACGGATTGAGGGCGGTCCCTTTTCAAGTTGTTGTTCTCGCCATAGCGCCGCGAACGTTCGTTTTACACATTCGCAAGAGTTTCACAAATTCCCATGATCAGCGTACCAGACATGGTTTCTTGGACGGATTCAGGATTTTGCGGGTGCAACAGTTATGTTGATGTGCGGTGCTGAAATCCAGGACATGGCGTTATGGCACGATTCCGTATCGTCAAAACGCACCACTCAGGTTGATACGTGGCGTTGAAATCCCAAGAGGCAATGTTTTGGTATGGGCAGGATCTTCAGACATTGTCTTCCGACGAGGCAGTTCCCTCAATGGAGATGAGCCGTTGTAAGGGCCTATGGAGGGATATGAACCGTTGTAGAGGGCCAACATCGTTGAAGACGTTTGGGTTTGCACTGGTCCCCCTCCTCCTCTTCCTCTTCCTTCCTCCTCCTCCCCGTCCCTCATTCCATCCCTGCCTTTGCTTTCCGCATCAGTCTACCGTTTCGGCACGCCGCTCACACGCTTCGTTGCCCCATAGAGGGCTCCGCCGAAGGTCCCACTGCTACCAGCCGCATGAGTCCCCACCGCCCAGTACAGCGCTTTGTGGCCCCATACGGAACTCCACCGAAGGCCCCAATGGTACTTTTCGCATGCGTCCCCATCACCCAGTACAGCGCTTCGTGCTCATCTAATACAACGCTTCGTGGCGTCACATGTACCTCCACCGACGCCCCCCTTGGCAAAGTTCGCATGCGTTTCCCCCACCCAGCACAATGCTTCGTGGTCTCATAGGGAGCCCCTCCGAAGCCCCCAAGGCACTGTCTGCGTGCGTCTCCTCTACCCAGTATAGCGCTTCGTGGCCCCATAGGGAAAGAGCGCCAGTGGATCACCTGGAAGACACAAAAGGGGGGGGGTGCTCCAGGGAACCCCCCCCCCCCCTCCCCCCCTTAAGGGGGGGGGGGGGGGTCCGAGAACCCCCCCCCCCCCTCCCCCCTTTAAGGGGGGGGGGGGGTGTTCGAACCCCTCCCCCCACCCCCCCCCCCCCCTTTGAAAGGGGGGAGGGGGGGGTTCGGAACCCCTCCCCCCCCCCCCCCCCTTGAAGGGGGGGGGGGGGTTCGGAACCCCCCCCCCCCCTCCCCCCCCTTTCCGCAGGGGTCCGGTGCGAGCGAGCCGAGCGCGCGGACTGTTGGACGTAGGGGCCGTCGGGGGCAGGACTCCCGCCCGCACACCCACAAAGCTTTCAGAGTTCCGCCCCCGACGGCCCCTACGTCCAACAGTCTGCGCGCGAGGCGAGCGAGGTTTAGGGTTTAGGGTTTAGGGTTAGGGCTTAGGGCTTAGGGCTTAGGGTTTAGGGTTTAGGGTTTAGGGTTTAGGGTTTAGGGTTTAGGGTTTAGGGTTTAGGGTTTAGGGTTTAGGGTTTAGGGTTTAGGGTTTAGGGTTTAGGGTTTAGGGTTTAGGGTTTAGGGTTTAGGGTTTAGGGTTTAGGGTTAGGGTTTTAGGGTTTAGGGTTTAGGGTTTAGGGTTTAGGGTTTAGGGTTTAGGGTTTAGGGTTTAGGGTTTAGGGGGTTTAGGGTTTAGGGTTTAGGGTTTAGGGTTTAGGGTTTAGGGTTTAGGGTTTAGGGTTTAGGGTTTAGGGTTTAGGGTTTAGGGTTTAGGGTTTAGGGTTTAGGGTTTAGGGTTTAGGGTTTAGGGTTTAGGGTTTAGGGTTTAGGGTTTAGGGTTTAGGGTTTAGGGTTTAGGGTTTAGGGTTTAGGGTTTAGGGTTTAGGGTTTAGGGTTTAGGGTTTAGGGTTTAGGGTTTAGGGTTTAGGGTTTAGGGTTTAGGGTTTAGGGTTTAGGGTTTAGGGTCTAGGGTCTAGGGTTCAGGGTTTAGGGATTAGGGTTTAGGGTTTAGGTTTTAGGGTTTAGGGTTTAGGGTTAAGGGTTAGGGCTTAGGGTTAGGGTTAGGGCTTAGGGTTAGGGTTAGGGTTAGGGTTTAGGGTTTAGGGTTAGGGTTAGGGTTTAGGGTTAGGGGTATGGTTTGTGTTGAGGGTTAAGGTTTAGGGTTAGGGTGAGGGTGAGGGTTTAGGGTTTAGGGTTTAGGGTTTAGGGTTAAGGTTTAGGGTTCAGGGTTTAGGGTTAGGGTTAAGGTTCAGGGTTAGGTCATAGGGTTTAGGGTTACGGTTAAGGTTTAGGGTTAGGGTTAGGGCTAGGGTTTAGGGTTAGGGTCAGGGTTAAGGATTAGGGTGTAGGGGTTAGGGTTAGGGTTAGGGTTTAGGGTCAGGGTTTAGGGTGTAGGGTTTTGGGGGTTAGGGTTTAGGGTTAGGGTTAGGGTTTAGGGTTAGGGTTTAGAGTTTAGGGCTAGGGTTTAGGGTTTAGGGTCAGGGTTGGGGTTGAGGTTAGGGTTTAGGGTTAGGGTTAGGGTTTAGGGTTTAGGGTGAGGGGTAGGGTTGGGGTTAGGGTGTAGGGATAGGGTTGAGGGTTAGGGTTAAGGGTTCAGGTTTAGAGCTTAGGTTAGGGCTAGGCTTAGTGTTAGGGTTTGGGGTCAGGGTTAGGTCTACGGTTAGGGTTTAGGCTTCGGGTTAGGGATTAAGGATTAGGGTTCAGGGTTTGGGTTAGAGGTTAGGGTTCGGGGGGGTCGGGGCGGGGGTGGTAGGGATGGGGTTCCGGAGCCGGGGCGCGAGCCGGGGAAAGGGGGGGGGGGGGGGGGGGGGGGGGGGGGGTTCGCCGACGACGGTTCGGGAAAGGGGGGGAGGGGGGGAGGGGGGGGTTCGCCGACGACGGCTCGGGCAAGGGGGGGGGGGGGGGGGGGGGGGGTTCGCCGACGACGGCTCGGGCAGGGGGGGGAGGGGGGGGGGGGGGTTCGCCGACCACGGCTCGGGCAAGGGGGGGGGGGGGGGGGGGGGGGTTCCGAACCCCCCCCCCCCCCCCTTTGGGTGATCCAGCGGCGCGCCCTCCCCCATAGGGAGCTCCACCGAAGGTTTCAATGGCACCGACCACATACGTCTCCCCCACCCAGTACTGCGCTTCGTGGCCTCATTCGGAGCTCAACCGAAGACCCCAGTAGCAGAGCCCCCCCGTGCGTTTCACCCACCCAGTACAGCGTCTCGTGGCCCATAGGAACTCCACCGAAGGCCCCGGTGGCAAAGTTAGCATGCGTCTCCCCCACCCAAGACAGCGTTTCGCGGCCCATCGGGAGCTCCACCGAAGTCCCCAGGGGTAAGGCTCGCGCGCGCCACCCCCACCCAGTACAGTGCTCCGTGGCCCGTAAGGATCTCTCCCGAAGGACCCAGTGGCAAAATTCGCATGCATGCGTTCCCCCCCACCCAGTGCACCGCTTCGTGGCCCACAGGAAGCTCACCGAAGACGATGCCCACAACTGTGGTACTTTCAATTGCATATGCTTTGATTTTTCGCCAGGTTAAGTTTGCGAAAGCGTCCTCGCTCGTGGCGACTATACGGAGTCAGTAAGAGTACGACGCGTGAAATTGCGTCCGAGCCCTCAGCACATACTCGCACACACACACACAAACAAAACCAGACACACACACACACACAGACACACGTATGTGCCGTGTGCGTGTGTGTGTTCAAACGTTGTGTTGTTTCGTGTGCATTTTCAAAGCGACAGCTCCCGTCTCTGAAATCCTAAAGCATTATGTTCACGCCGCAGAGGTGGCCGCCTTTCGGGATCGGCACATTGCTGTCGTCGTTCCGATGTGCGTTTTCGCCCCAGCGCGCGCAACACTTCCGGATCCAATTCGTTGTTCGTATATGCCGTCCCCTTCCTCAAGTTTTGTGTGATCCCCTCGCTGCTCCTACTCCTGTTCCACCTCCTCCGTCATCGTCCTGCTCTTCCTTCTGGTCCTCCGCCACCTCTTCTTACCAGCCTGGAACGGATCCCTACCCCTATGCTGGGTATCTCCTCATCACGATGCCAATCTTAGGGATTCCCTCATTCAGATGTGGCCCGAGCGCACCTAGCTTGCCCTCCCTCCGACCCCTTCCTTCCGCAGGGCGGTACGACGGGGACGGCGACAGCGACAGCGAGGGCGACGACGACGACGACGACGACGACGACGACGACGACGACGACGGCGACGACGACGACACGATGCCGACGGCATCCACGACGACCCCCTGCCACGGCCCTCCTCGCCGCCTTTTCCCCACGCGGGACGGCTGCGCTCGGGGAGGTACTTGGAGACCATCGACGCGGTGGTGGTATCGACGGGGGACGTGGGCGACGATAGTGGGGGATAGATATAGGGAGGGATGAATCGACACCCAATCGCCCATTGATCACCGATCGGGGCCCGATAACCCCAACCTGCACAGGAACCTTTCGGTGTCGCTATCGGGAGCCTATCGCCGATGTGTCGGCGATGTATCGCCGATTTCAGGCCGACGGTTTCCCCCCTACGCCAGCCCCCCGGTATCGTTGGCCCTTACGGGGGAGGGGGCAGGTGTCGTCACAGCATCGCACGAAGTGAACGACGTTAAAAGACGGGGTCGGCTACACCGATATTGGCGCGCAAAGTCGCGCGCGTAAGCGCCCTCGTTCACAACGTGGCGCGCTGCGCTGGCGGCCCGCGTAAGCCGCCGCGTAAGCTCGCTATGTCGTCTCGCGTAAGACCTGTTCTTGTCGTCGCTCACTGATCCTCATTGCCACTCTCTGGCTTTAAGTCGGGCATGTCCCTCTACAGGAAGTTTTTTTTGTGTTTCTTTAGTCATACAGAAATAGTATGGGGACGACTTTGCGAGTATGCTTGAGCATGCTTGGGGTATTGTTGTGATATGTTTAATTGCTCGTCCAAAATCCGCCTGTAGGGGGACATGCCCGACCTGACTCTAGCTGCCCGCTTGCTCATCTCCTCGTCCCTGCTGCCGCCGCTCGCGCTCAGCATTCACGACCGGTGCGCTTTGCGGGCGCGGCCTCGCCGAGCGGAAAATGCATACATCACATTGTACCGCCGACCGCCGTACAGTCGGGGCCCTGAAGAAGGAACCCTTTTCGTTGGGGAGGGGCTCCGTGTTCCTTAATTGTTTCGCAGCTTGCCTTGGATTTTCTTTAGGTTTTCGATACGAAATCGAAGTTCAACTTATGGAAAATAGGGGCCTCGTTCCTTATTTCGGGCTCCTTAGGTCAACGCCCCGACTGTATAACACGTTGGTATTCATGCTATGTTGAGCCGCTCCCACCGAGCAGGATACCACAGGTAGTCCAAGAGGACAGGTCAAACGTCTGCAGGACCCGAGTGACGGCGAGATCGGGGAGGGGTCGGGAGGGACAAAGTTAGACACAGACACACATACACACTGATTCCCCATGAAGCCTGCATTGTCGGGACTCCTGGAGCACCCTTGGATCCTTGGGAATGTCAGAACCCTTGGATCCTGGGGAACTGGGAAATCCTGGATTTTTGAAAGCGTTGGGAGTCCTGGAGTGCGTGCCTACAGGGCCGCTTTGAATACATGCTCCGCGTACGGATCATGTGTTACAAATGCAGGGATTGAGTATAACAAACAGCGTTGAGTTCATGCATGCATGTATTCATGAACTGCTCATGTACTTAAAACTAAATGTATGAAACAATCCCATGTATCAAAACTTGCCCCCTGTAGGTGCCTGTTTTTTCTAGATTCCGGCAAGTTTACTTGCATGGACGGGGGGTGGGGGGGCTGAGCCTGAAGCAAGCCGCAAACAACTTGCACGTTCGGGGGGGCGCGGAAATCACGCAAGTCGAAAGGCACTTGCACGCTAGTATTCGCTCGAAGAGGGGCGAGGCGGGGGGGGGGGGAGGGCGAACGCCATGCAAGTAAAACTTGCCTGAATCCGAAAAAAACAGGCTCAAAATACCATGAGCCTCTGCGCCCCCTCAGAGGGAGGCCGCTCGACGCGGCGAGCCCGGCGCCCCCCGGCGGGGCGGAGGCCGCTCGGCGCAGCGCCTAGCTCCGGCGGCGCACGCCCGGCCCCGCCCGCCGCCGAGCGGCCCGCGGCTGCGAACCCAGACCCCCTCGAGTTATGGGGGAGAGGAGGGGGAGGAGGAGGAGGAGGGGGAAGGGGAGGGGGAGCAGGAGGAGGGGGGGAAGCAGGAGGAGGAGGAGGAGGAGGAGGAGGAGGAGGAGGAGAAGCAGGAGGAGGAGGGGGAGGAGCCGGCGGATCCATCGGGAGGACAGCGCCGAGGAGGCAGGGCAGGCCGAGGCCGGGAGGACGACTAGGTGAGGGGGTCCTGGGGCCCTCCACTGATCGAGCAGGGGGTCGAGTACAGGATCGAGTTGCCCCAAATGGGTAGTCGAAGGCCAGACTGTCAGATTGGATTGGGCCCCAAGGGCCAATCTGGCCTGGCCAGACTGGATGATTTGGGTTATTCGCCAGACTGGATTCGCGTTGGCTCCCTCGCCAGATTGCCCCCGTTTGCCAGATTGGGCCTGCCAGATTGGCGCCAGATTGGCTTCGACTACCCAGTATGGAAAAGGTTTTTCGTTGTTTTTGGCCTTTGCGGGCCCTTACCGGCCCTCGGGACCGTCAAAAAACGACTCAGGACGAAAAGCCGGTCCCTGGGAATGGGTCCAGGCCGCTGGGGGTCGACGTCATGAAAAATTCATGACGTCGGGGGTCTGGGTCCACAGCAGGAGGAAGACTCAAACATAATCAAAAACTAGTCAGCGGAGGATGTTTGACTACGTCTGGCTATTTTTATAGACTATGTCTTGAGCATCTCGCCAGTTTTTCCTCCGGAATCCGCCCGTCGGGGGACATGAGCCTGTTTTTCTTTAGATTCGGGCAAGTTTACTTGCATGGACGGGGGGGGGGGGGCTGAGTCTGAAGCAAGCCGAAAAACAATTCGACGTGCGGAAATCACGCAAGTCGAAAGGCACTTGCACGCTCGCGAAAGATTGAAGAGGGGCGAGGGGGGGGGGATGGGGCGAAACGCCATGCAAGTAAACTTGCCTGAATCAAAAAAAAAAACAGGATCCATGCCCGACCCAGGCCCTCGGCGCAGAGGCGGGGGGGGGGGGGCGCGAGGAGAGCGAGCGCCCGTGCGATCAAGGCGGGCACTCTGCATGGGACGCTGATTCCGAGAGGAGCAAGAGGTCATGACAGTGAGGAGGAGGAGGAGGAGGAGGAGGAGGAGGAGGAGGAGGAGGAGGAGGAGGAGGAGAGGAGGAGGAGGAGGAGGAGGAGGAGGAGGAGGAGGAGGAGGAGGAGAGGAGGAGGAGGAGGTCATGACAGTGATACTCTCCAGGATCTCCCAGGTTTCCAGGACTTCCCATGTTCCCAATGTTCCGCACCGGCTGCGCCGCTGGATACTCTTGGAAGTCCTGGAGCCGAGACGTTTGCGTCCCCTACAGGGGGACATGTTAGGAAATACTCAAAAAATACTCCCGCCTCACCCTTGCCAACATACTCCCCAAGTACTCTTTTTTTACTCGTTGCTCGGAAGCTTTCGATTGTAGTGCGTGCGATGCGTATTATTTTTACGGCAGTGTGATAAGTTATGCTATGTTGTGCTGCGCTACGCCATCATTGGTACTGTTGCGTCGTGCCGTGTCTTTGAATTCACAGATATACTTCGCTATGAATTCCATTGCGTCGTTTCTATTGTGTTGCTATGGCGCGCTATTCTATGCTATGCCATGACCCCCCAGCAAGGCCCCACGGGACGAATTACGGCAGCTCTTTCCCCAGAGTGTGGATGGGGCCCCAAAGAGGCCGTCTAAGGTCTAGGCGCCAAGAGCCCCCTCAAGGTCTCCAAGGGCAGCGTTGACGGGAAACCAGGGTCACCAAGGGCGCCAGAGCCCCCCCTAAGGTCTCCAAGGGCGCCCTCCTGAGGTTCCCAGGGGCGCCAGAGCCATTTGTGCTGCAGCGGCGAGTGCGGCCATGACCGTGTATGCAAGTTTGATTTTCTTCATATCATCCATATTTTGTGCGCGCGGCCTCGCGCGCCACTCCATATTAACACCATCAGTTGCTCCGTGGGAGCGCATGGATGGCGCGCCTCTCCACGGCCTGGCGGTTGTCCCTTTCCAGATCCCTGGCGCTGGAGTCCACGTGCCTGTCCATGCGAATAGTTCGTCCAGCCAGAATAAGAAACGGAGGTTGGACGAGACAAGCATCAGCCCGAGAATGCTTCAGGATATAGTTCAGATGTCGCCCGTGCCCTTCGTCCTTAGCCCGATCTACAAGCACGTGGACGCTTTCATCGGGGCAGTGCACACAAATGGCAAGTATGATGTTCCTCATGGCGATGCGGTGTATACGGTTGCCAAGCGCATGTTCGACGATTCTGTGTCGTTTCAAATGATGACCAAAACGAGCGAGGCGGAGCTGGCAGGTTCATCTCGCATGAAGACGGTCAAGATCACCAGAAAGTTGGCGGAATTTGCAATTGTATATGACAGACTTCGCCGCCATAGCTTAGAGAAGTCTTTGGTATCCTGCGACAGGGTGAAGCCACTTTACTATATAGAGTGCGAGTTTTACGACGAGAGTCCGATGCCGTTCAAACTCAGAGATTGCAGTTTCAACAACCATATTGAGCTACTTCAGGACTTCGCTGCAGTGTTGAACCCCAAGTGCGTCAAGGATGGTGTCGTGATTCCTTCGGAGCTCCCAGCGTTCATCCAGCAAAGTCGCACTGAAGCGTCAATTTGCAAGATGCTCCAAGTTGATTCTCGATATGCATGCTTGTTGAAGGTAGAGAGCGGCGGTGCCAAGCGATACATCTTCGTGCATTCCTCTACCCTCAACCACTTGGTAGTAATTGATCGCAACACGGGCGAGGCCACTCGCGGGGCCCTCAGATTGCTCTGGTCAGTGAGTTTGGCGCACAAGCTGCATGAACAACGGGTTCGTCTCGTCACGACCGACCAGGGTGGGGGTTGCATCAAGTGCGAACGTGTCATTGCAGAAAAAGACAGACAAGGCTGGCAGCACCTACACCTGCACTGCGAAGTTCACATCACCAGCTTGGTGCACAAGAACTCGTTCAAGCTTGTCACAGAGAATGTTACTGGGATGGTGAGGTGCGCGCTGTCACTCAAGCTGGCGGGACACATGGGTTCATTTCGACAAGTTCTTCGCGAGGTCATCGGGAGCATGATTCTGTTCAAAGTTGGAGCTCCTCCGCCAGAGGCAGTTTTCTACAGGAGGATGGCGCTCAGGCTGTTGAGCTCATCGGGCTCGCTCGTCATCCAGAAGTTCGTTGCCTTGAACAAGT